TTCTGTGATAATCCTGTTTTTCCCCCAGTACAGCACAAAGGGTCACCCTGCCATTTGTAACCTGTTACCTCCTCTTCTCCTCTTCCAGGTGGGACAGTGCGTTGTGGTCTTTAGCCAAGCTCCCAGTGGGAGAGCCCCGCTGAGTCCCAGCTTGAACTCTCGCCCCTCTCCCATCAGCGCCACGCCGCCTGCCCTGGTCCCCGAAACGCGGGAATATCGCTCTCAGTCTCCCGTCAGGAACACGGACGAAGCTCCCTGCGTCAACGGCCGCTGGGGCACCTTGCGACCCAGAGCGCAGAGACAAACGCCCTCGGGATCCCGGGAAGGCAGCCTCTCCCCGGCCCCGCCGCCGCCGCCGCCCGCGGGAGCCCGCCGCGGCCAAGCGGGGCGAGAGATAGGAGCGACGGGCTTCAGGAATTAATAACTGCCCTCAAATCTGAAAATCATTCCTTCGGTGTCTACTGGATTCTAGGAACCAGACAGAAGTTTTGGCAAAACCCTCTGCAGTTCCTTCTTTTTTTTTTTCTTTTTTTTTTCCCCCTTTCCTTTCTCGAGCGCATTAAATTAAATACATATTGTCTAGATAAACCGCTCATTGTGTCAACAGCTGAACTTGGGGAGCTCCGGCCGCCTCTCGGGTGGGAGAGGCAGCTCTGCTCAGCTCCTCTATCATTGTTTAATAAAGGGGATTAGTGTGCGCAGATGGAGTGCCACGAAACGTCTGGGTCTTGCTGATGGGGAGGGAAAAAAAATAGGTTTTCTCTTTCTCCTCAAGCGCTCTTTTCGCCCAATTAGAAGATTACCCCACGGCAGACCTGGACGGAGGATTTTCCCATCCCTGACGGCCGCGGGAGAGTCAGAGGGGAGGAAAGCAACTCCTGGAGAGCAGGGGACAGCAGAGCGCAAGCAGAGTTTAGGAGGAGCCTGCTCTAAAAACTCTGCCTAAATCTGCGAGCGATCGCGTTTGCTGCTAGCTGCCTGACAGCCGTGCCCTCAAGACCACCGGGGGAGCTTTTGGAAAAAAAAAAAAAAAAAAAAAGAGCCCAACCGAAAAACAAACCCCAACACACTGCGACTTCGCACCTCGCCTGCAGAGAGCTGCGCTTTGAACCTTCCCAGAGCCTGTGCCAGTCGCAGGGGATGGCTGGTCCTCGCAGGACGAGTCCAGCAATCGCTGATCCGCCGCTCCCTTCCCTTCCCTTCCCCGCCAGACTCTCAAGCAGTCAGCACGCCCGTGTTTTTTTGCTGAACACCATTTTTTTTTTTTTTCCACCCTGGGAAGACTCGGGGAGGTTAAACTCCCCGTCTGAACCGAAGCCCTGGACGAGTGCAACTGAGGTTATAGAAATCCGGGAGGGGAAATGACGAAAATGCTTTATTGTGAATAAAACAAGAGGGAGGAGGGAGAGGCGGAACTTCACAAAGGTGAAGGATGGGAAATTTGCAGAGCTGAGGATTTAGCCTGTCTCTGAGCACCGGGCAGGGGGTTAGTCAGGATTTCTGTCTGTCTCTCCGAGCCTGCAGCGGCATCTCCGCCCCAGTTTAGCTGAACCTGTCCCACTTGTCGGCTTTTGCTTCGTTCCTGAGCGGCTTTTTGGGGGAGCCCGGTCACCCACCCACCCGCAGCCCCTGGCCCTATTCCCCGCTCGGGAATTCCGTGCCAAACCTGGAACAGGGTCTTATCTTTCTAGCCAAGCTCCCAGGTCAACTTCCTCGTAGGAAAGCTGATTTATGCCTGTTTAGAACGTATGGAAAAAAGAGGCAGAAGCCAAGAGCGGCATCTCTCCAAAATCTCATTGTCTTTAAGGCGGGAAGAAGGGAGAAAGGGTAGGCAGAAAAACTAAAATGATAAGGTTTGCCTTGTCGCGGCCAGTAGGGCTTGACCCAAAAGGCAAACACAGGGTTTTGCCTCACCTTCCCGCGGCTGAAGTTTTTTTCCAGGTCCGACAAAACGTCCCGGCTAGGGGAAAACAACCGCAAACGCCTCTTCTTGGCGAGCAGCCCTACCGCAACCGAGGCCCCGGCAGGTGAAACGCGAATAAAATTGTTGTTTTTTTCCCCGCTCCTAGTCACGGAGCCAGCCGTGCCCGGGGGTGTCCCATGCGTGGAGCGATGCTTTAGCCGGACGGCCCGATTCCCCTCCCCACACCTGTGCCAAAGCATCGCTCCGCCGGTCCTTCCTCTCGTCCATACTCATCTCCTCACCCCAATTCCTTCCCCTCCCCGAGGCCAGGGGACACCCGGAGCCGGCAGGGAGGAGCAGCCGGGGGCGGAGGGGTGAGATGCTGCAGGTGGCGGCTGGTCCCTCCCGCTCCATCCTGCGGT